CTCAAGGACTATCTTGTCAAGCAGGGTGTATCTCACGCCACCCAGCTTTGAGGGGGGGACGTGTGAGAGTACGACGGCTTATGCTGGCTTTGCTAGCTTGCCTGGACTTTATTATGCTATTAGTAGCTTAGGTTTCATTTATCATGCATAGATGTGTTTGATTTTCTAGGTTAGGTGCATTCCTATATGTTATTATGGTTATAGCACCGAACCAGGTTACGTGTACCGAACTCAAGCCTTTTCGGTTCCCACCGAATTGCTTTCTACCGAGTTCGGGAAGGTTCTGTTCGGGACGCTTCGCGACCCTCAGAACATTCGCGTAACACCTGGGTTACTGGCCTTGTGTCAAGACTATATATAGCCTCGTGTTGTACCCAGGTGAATGATTCAATTCAAACTCTCTTTTCTGAGCTCGATCCTAGATCCTCACAGCATTCCCTTATTAGCTGTATTGCATTGCTACAATAACCGTGACTATTGCTATACTATAAAATTACCATGTTGCATCGTGTAACCTCTGAGTACGGTTACTGGGCGGTCAACAGTCACGACCGTTGACTATCTGTGACTGTTGACCTTCGAGTTGCGTGCTCTATACGAGCTTAACGCGATATTGGTACAGGTGCGCTGCCTCGTTATGAAGCGATGCGCTAAGTGAAGCCTTCGGGAATGTTATCATAACCATCGGTTATTTCAACACTCCCCTTCATTCTTGAAGGTGAGCCACGTGGGATTCCTTCGAGATCCCGTAGATGTCGGTGCAGTGCTAAAACTTCTAGCGTGGCAGCTTCTTTGTCAGAAAATCTGCTGCCATGTCACCAGTTGGGCAATACGTGAGTTTGACTTTGCCCTTGTCGATCTCATCCTTGACGAAGAAGTGACGGAGAGCGATATGCTTCGTGCGGTTTACGAAGCCGGACTTGTTCGCGATTTTTATCGCGCTCTGATTGTCGCAGAGTAACGTAAAGTGTCCGTTCATAGTCACTTTTGCTTCATGTAGGAGCTCCATCAGGTACAACCCTTCGCGAATAGCTGCGCTGGCGACGATGAACTCAACTTTGGCTGACAAAGGATCGATGAGCTCCTGCCTTTGGGAGTTCCAAAAGATGAGTCCAGCAAGTTGAAGTTGAAAAATGAAGCCTGCGCGGGAGCGTCTGTTGTCAACATCTCCCGCATGGTCCGCGTCTACGTAGCCGTGAAGCTGTAGGGTAGCTGTTAAATTAGCCGCGTAGGTGAGCCCAACGTCGAGAGTAGAGATAAAGTATTGAAGTGCTCGATGTAGGTCTAGTATATTCTCCCCTTCACGTCGGCGCAAGTACTGTGCGAGCTGGCTCGCGACATAGGAGAGATCTGGTCGGCACGTGGCGGCGGCGAGTAGTAGGCACCCCAGTTGCTATTGATAGAGGCGATGATTCTTGGTAGACAGCGGCGTGGTGTTGGGTTCATGGTCAGGAGGAGGAGTGCGGAAGGGTGTGGTGAGGTTGATCGGGGCAATCGCGAATTTCTTCGCGAGTGTTTCCACGTACTTGGCGGCGGAGATATGGATGGAGGTGGCGGACTCGGTGATGTTAAGACTCAGGAACTACGTGACGTTGTGGTTGATCGTCACCTCCAGCTTCTCTTTGATTTCACGGGTTATTATCATGTACTGCCCTATTCGAAGTGTAGCAGCGAGTCTCACCATATCGAGAATGTTGACCCACCTGGCGAGCTACAGGGGCGCAACCGCGCACAGTGGTTGCGACCTGTCAAAATAGGTTCTTAACTTAGTAGGCTTAGTAGCCTAGGGTTTAGCTAGGACGAGCAAAGCAAAGGGAATGTCGAGGGTGTTGACCAAAGGAGAAACGAGAATTGGTGTTTATTATGAGAAAAGTTACAAGTTATAGCAAGCCAAAGGGTGCACCACCTAACAGGACAGCAATAGAACTACACTAGGTCTACACTACAGGCAGTTATAGTAATGTATACGATTACATTCTGGCACACCCCCTAAATGCCTGCAGTGAAGAACCATGTGTAGAAACACCCCCGGATGGGGTACACCAAGCGCAATGGAAGACAGCAGAGGAAAGCGAGGAGGAGGAGACAAGAGAGAGAGAGGGGATAGGAGAGGAATGAGGAGAGGAGGTGGGGGAGCCAAGCGGCGTGCCCCTCTTACGAACCCCCGTTTTACAAAGGGGGGGGGGGTGAGAGAGGGATGAGGAGAGGAGGTGGGGGGAGCCACGCGGCGTGCCCCTCTTACGAACCCCCGTTTTACAAAGGGGGGAGGGTGAGAGAGGGAGGAGAGGAGGTGGGGGGAGCCTAGCGCGGCGAGCCCCTCTTACTAACCCCCTAATTCCACGCCCCCTTTCAGCCACCCCCCTCAACCTCACCCCCCTTGTCAACCGCCCCCTGGAACCTCACGCCTTCCCCCCACACATCCTCCAAATCCTTCCCCACCCACGGTGGTCCCTGCTCAAGCCTTCACACGGCGGCCAGAAACCCGCCACCCCCTCACCCTCCCCCCCACAGCGGCACGTGCAGCAGTGAGAGAGAGAGGAGGAGCGGCGGCAGATGGGTGCTCACACCCGCCACCCCAAACCCACACCCCCCCCACTGTTGCACGCGCAGCAGGGAGAGAGAGGGGAAGGCGAGTGGCAGCGGTAGTAGCTCCTCCCGTCACTCCCACCACTCCACCCTCTCCACCCTCCCCCCCCACAGCAGCAGGTGCGGCCGTGAAAGAGAGAAAAGGAGGGTGGTGCTGTTGGTGCCACCTCCCCCTTACACCCCCTCTCCCTCCCCCCAAACTGCTGCACACGTAGTAGGGAGAGGGAATAGAAGGGAGGGGGGGGCGAGGTGTGCGATCTGGTGGGGCGGGCGCGGGCGGGCAGGGCGCACGAGGCGCCGGGCAGAGGCGCACGAGGCGCCAGGCAGAAACCGCCGCTGCAGTAGGAGCAGCAGGGGGGGAGAGGAGAGGCGGAGGGTGGGGGCTGCTGGCTTGGTGACGAAGCAGAGCAGCGGGGCGCTGGAGGTGCAACCACCCCCCACCGCCACTCCTGCGTCCCCCCAACACCCAACACTCCACCGCCACTCCTGCGACGGCGGGGAGGTGAGGCTGGTGCAGCTCCGCGCGCTTGTGCTGGCGCTGGCGCTGGCACGGGCGTTGGCGACTGGCGGCTCCGGCCGCCACTAACCCCCTCGATGTTGCCCGCTCCAGTCGCGGCTGCAGCGGCGGCGGGCTCGTACGAGCGGGGAGCTGCAGCGCAGCAGTGGCGGGCTGCAGCAGCGGCGATCGCGTGCTGCAGACGAGGGCTGCGACGTACGGGCGGCTGCAGCAGTGCGCGTGCTTGCCTGCGACGGGGCCCCCGCACGACGGGCAGAAAACCGTCGCACGCTGGGGGCGAGCGACGGGCAGAACACCGTCGCGTGCTGGGGGCGCGCGACGGGCAGAAACCGCCACGCGCTCGGGGCGCGTGACGGGCAGGGGCACTGCATGACGGGCAGCGCGATTGGTGGGCCCACGAAAATTAGGTCCTGGGAAGGACCAGCTCTGATAGCATGTCAAAATCGGTTCTTAACTTAGTAGGCTTAGTAGCCTAGGGTTTAGCTAGGACGAGCAAAGCAAAGGGAATGTCGAAGGTGTTGACCAAAGGAGAAACGAGAATTGGTGTTCATTATGAGAAAAGTTACAAGTTATAGCAAGCCAAAGGGTGCACCACCTAACAGGACAGCAATAGAACTACACTAGGTCTACACTACAGGCAGTTATAGTAATGTATACAATTACATTCTGACACGACCCTCATAGCAGCCGAAGCGTCGATTTGGGAAGGAGGCAGCGTGTACAGTACGCGAAACCGCCCTGCAGGGCGCGGCTGAATACCGCGCCCTTGCCGAAGCTGAACAGTCGCGCCAGCGCGATTGTAACAGGGCAACTGAAACTTTGCAGCGCAACTGTTATATAGTTGCGCCTTGGTAACTGCCTTTGTGTTTCCTTTGCTATATAACTCAATGTAATGCATGTCTCTTATTACACTATTCTCAACCTTGTGTCCGACCTACCCTCCGCCGCCGCTTTGGCACCACGTTACAAGCCAGGAGAGCTACCTCTGAGTAACCATAGCCCCGCCGAAGGGACGTCGTTATCTTCCTAGAGCTTCCGCTGCGCTCTATCGACTTCTTATTTCTACAGTAACAGTGATTATACATACCTTATAGCCCCGGATAGTAGCGCATATGCGCTTATAAAAAAATCGATAATTGAGTCTAGGGCATAAGTGCATGCGCTTATATACAAATACAGAAATAATAAACGCACCAAACTGTACATCTCAGTCTCACTACTTCAATCGAATCGAAAATTTTCAGCGTCCGAAATCAGAATCGTGTGAGTGCGATTCTCTAACGTTGCACAGAGCTTTGGCACGTCATTTTGCAGGCGTGCCAGCTCATCCTGACTGGACGCGCAACCAGTGAGGCCCTCGAGAGTCAAACAAGTTGAAAAAGGGTGTTGACTCGCTGCAAAATTGTATTTCGTTACTGTTTTAATTAAGATTGAAAAATAAAAATAGGCATGCGCTTATAATAGATCAAGGTTTTACAGGGGGTGCGCTTATAATTGAGGACCGGCCATAAGCGCATGGCTCCAGATAGAAGCGCCGGCGCTTTTAATAGGACGACGCTACTATCCGGGGTGATACGGTACATGGTTTCAGGTGACCAGTTGGTCTCACATACTTCTACAAGGAACCATGACAATTGGCTGCAGCAACAGAAGGGCTTTGATCTTATAATACACAGCTACATCTGACCAGCCATTCTGCCTTGGCACCACCAGTCCCCTCTGCTCTGAGCACCGCGAGCAGGGCCTCATGAATGAATACCAAAAGGGCCACGCTGGTTGGTAACCAACTGAACAGAAGAGTCTGATCTTATATGATACATCCACATTTTGCCTGCCCGTGCTGTCGACACACCATTCCCCTCTGCCCTGAGCTCCATGTCAGCAAAGCCTGGTGGGCTTATGAATAAATGCCCGCAGACACATGATCCGATCTCTCACACAAGCACTCCCAGGGAAACGAATAGAAGCTTCCTCTCACTGCGGCCTTCCCGTTGCTGTCGTCTCCCCTGAGCGTCTGGTTGCGCAGCTTGTGAGTGCTCTTGGCATCGCCTTGCTGGATGGCCGTGAGTAGGCGGAGGATAGAGGAGCCAAACAGCTGCACCGTGTTTCCTACACCGTCGTACCTGACGGGAAGGTGGAGGCAGGATGGGAGGGGGAGGGGGAAGGGGGGGATGGGGGCCTGAGGAGTGTGGGGGAGTATTGGATGGGATGGGAGTGATGATGACCCCAAAGGAGGATAGAAGAACCAAACAGCTGCACCATGCTGCCCATCCCGTTGTACCTGGGGGGAAGGTGGAGGGGTTGGGAGCAGAGGGGGTTGATAGAATGGAACTTGGGCGTTTCTGATGAATCCAATGGAGGATGAAGGAGCCAAAGCTGCACTGGATACCTTCATAGTACCTGGTAGGTGGGCCTTGGCTGGTAGGATGATTGAACAGAACGATACAAAACTGAGGGCAAATGGAGTGGTTTTGGTTTGATTTCAGATGGGAAATGGGCATTGCAAACAGCTGCACCGTGCTGCTCGTACCCATGGGAAGGAGGTATCTGAAATGGGCGGTGCAGGGTGGGGAGTGGAAGATACGGGAGCCAGGATGTTGAGATACGGGTGCTTCTTAGTTGACTCAAAAAGAGGATCGCAGAGCCACAGCAGGTCAAACGCAGTGAGAGAGTTTCCAGAACAAGCAACTAAATGCCCGCCGGGCCTTAGGCCCCATCATTTGCACCTTATCATTCTCCTTCCTCCGCATCCTCTCAACGCTCATTGAACCCTGCCTCCCCCCATTCGCACCCATCCCAAGCCGCACCTTCTATGTCCGGAGAGCAGGTGACCCATGTTGCCATGTTGCCATTGTTGTTGAGCACCAGCATGTGCCCCCGCCTCTCACCACTTCAAAACCATTACCCCCCGCCTCCACCATCCCAATCAGCACCTTCTATGTCCGGAGAGAACGTGAGCCATGTTGCCATTGTTGTTCAGCACCAGCATGTGCCTGCCCCGCCTCCCACCCCCTCATCACCCTTGTCAACCGCTCTAATCCGCACCTATGTCTAGAAAGCAGGTGCGCCATGTTGCCATCGTTATTCAGCACCAGCATCTGCCCACTCCTCCCACCCGCCCAACACCCATTGCCCCCAAGCCATACCTTCTATGTCCAGAAAGCAAGTGAGCCATGTTGCCATTGTTGTTGAGCACCAGCATGTGTCCCCGCCGGCACATCTCATAGTCCATCGCCGCTAGAAGCGTCTTCCTCCCTTGCAGCCCCTCCAATACCCCTCGCCCCACTCCCCCTCCCCCATCGCCCTCCCTTCTCCACTCCGCCGCTACACTCTCTGCTGCTCCACTCTCTCCCACTTCCCCTCTTGACCCATCCCTGTCGGCCACCCTGCCCTCCTTCCCCCCAGCATGAGCGAGGGAGTGAGCGAGGGAGTATTTGTCGGTGGCAAGGGGGAAGGCCTTGAGCAAAGGGCGCAGGGCGGAGGGCCCCCCATGCAGCTCGCCTGATGCGATGTAGAGGCGCGTGGATGGCGGGAAGCCTAACGTTTGTAGGGCCACTGCCACCTGAGGAACGAGGAGGGGCAGGCAGGGTGGGGGGGATATGATTTTGACACTGCCTGGCCTGGATGGTCTATACACTTGGCTGGAAGGGAGTGACAATTCACTTGCCCTTGGCCCTCTGCTGCTTGACGTTCTGTCGGGGGAGCTCCGGCCACCTCCTCCTGATCCCCTCAGTCAAACAGCCTCTCGCCTATCTTTTGATTGAACCCAAAACACACCTGCGAGGGAGTGACGAGGCACTTGCCCTTGGCCCTCTGCTGCTTGGGTTCCTGTCAGGGCAGCTCCGGCCACCTCTTTCTGATCCCCTCAAACAGGCTCCTCTCTTTTCTCCCTCCGCCATAGTCACACCCGGTGAATGCGAGCATGTCAGGCTCGTACCTGCAAGGCAGGGATGTGGGGTGATCATGGAGGTTAAGGTATTGCCTACACCCTTTCCCCCCTCCGCCATAGTCACAACCCGTGAATGCCAGCATGCCAGGCTCGTACCTGCTCTCTCATGGCATGTGGCGGGTGCATGGCGGGTAGAGAATGGGATGGCATGCAGACAGGTGATTGCATGGGATGGAGGGGTTATTGTCAGTGAATCTTCTTCTGCGTGCTAAGCGGAAGAAATATAGAAGGCATTTTCTCCTTCAGTCAGCTGCTGAATGAGAGTGATCTGTTTCATGAAAGTCTGCTTCTGCGATTAAAGCGACGGTGCACATTTGCCACCCAAAACCCAAAACCCTGGCGAACTGTTACTGCGGATGAAAAGTGTCCGCACGAAATCCTGGTTTTCACCAGCCAACACTTTCGTGCTGGCAAGCCTGGTTCAAAACAAAAACTTTTGAACCCAACCCTGCCAAAAGTGCACCGTCACCTTAAGAGTTCAGTAGCATGGCTAGGGAATTGCGGTGGATACGTGAGTCAAACAAGGTGGCAGCATGGTGCAACATTTATCAGAAATTACAGCGGTAACAGCAATTTTTGTAATGTACATGGAGATTCAAGAATCACAAAGCTCAGCATGCCCAGCCGACCTGCCATGCCCATCCCACCTGCCATGCCCATCCCACCTACCATACTCATCCCACCTGCCATGCCCAACCCACCTGCCATGCCCAGCCCACTTGCCATGCCCATCCTACCTCCCATGCCCATCCCACCTGCCATGCCCATTTCACCACGCAGATGTTTATGAATAGAAGCATAATGAGTGGATGAGTGGATGCCCATCTCACCTCAGGTGCAGCGCCACAGACTTGACTGCCTCCCCACTCCCCTCTGCCGCCATCCCTCCCGTCCCTCCCATCGCTTCCCTATGCTCCCTCTGCCCGATCTGTGCCCCCTTCTCTTGTGCTCCATGCCCGGCCTCTTCACCACCGCAGCTTGTCGCAGCAGCAGCAGGGCCAGCACCGGCAGCAGAGGCAGGGGGGTGTAGGAAAAGTGGCGAGGAAGGCGATGGATACTTTGAGTGGACTCAAAAATGTGTCGTGTGCCATTGTAACGAGGTGAATTTTGAGTCGACTCAAAAGTCACCTCGCAGCTGGTTGAAAAGGGGTGGGGACGGCAGAGAGTGGGCAGGGAGGTGTAGGAAAAGTGGCGAGGAATGCGGTGGAGGAGGAGAAGGATGGCCTCTGATTCGATTGAAAAGCAACAAGCGGTTCTACTTCCACCCTAAACCCTGAAGAGGCCCCCACAGCTATTGTGGGGGGGCGAGGAGGCCGTCAGAGAGGAGATCGGACACGGGTATACTTCCACCCTAAACCTTGAACACACCAAAGTCGACAGCACAGCCGGTTTGTCTGATATTGTGTGGATCCAAAGAGTGTGTGAACCCAAAGAGTGTGTGAACCCAAAGAGTGTGTGAACCCAAAGAGTGTGTGAACCCAAAGAGTGTGTGAAACCGAAGAGTGTGTGAAACCGAAGAGTGTGTGAAACCAAAGGGTGTGGGAAACCAAAGGGTGTGTGAAACCAAAGGGTGTGTGAAACCACAGGGTGTGTGAAGTCAAAGAATATGTGAACTCAGAAGGAACTTAAAACGCCATGTGCCTTGCAGCTCATGAGTGATGGCGAGCCCCCGGTTACGTTTGATGCCCCTGTTACCTTCCAAAAGGGTGCAGGGAGGCTGTGGTTGAGGTTGAAGCTAAACGGTTTCTGTGAGTGCCTTCTATGCATGACCTACCTTCTGCAGGGGCGCAGGGAGGCTGTAGTTGAGCTTGAACTTGAAATGAGTCTGGTGCCTTGCGGTTTGTGAGTGTCTGTGACTACCCTGTTTGCACCACGTACCTTTTGCAGGGGCGCAGGGAGGCTGTAGTTGAGCTTGAACTTGAAGTGGTTCAGCTTCAGCACCTGCGCCCTCCTGTGGTGTGATGTTGCATGGGGAGGAGAAGAGGGAGGGGAGGCGAGAAGTGGGGCCACGATGAGGAATAAACCTAATGGGATTGGAAGTGTAATTGAAGGGAAGCTGTTGCAGGGAGGCTATAGTTGAGCTTGAACTTGGAGTGGTTCAGCTTCAGCACCTGCGCTATCCTGTGACGTATGTAGAGGGGGGGAAGAAGAGAGGGGGGAAATAGTTTGAGTGGGCTCAAACAGAGGGGAAGAGGGGTGCAGGGAGGCTATAGTTGAGCTTGAACTTGAAGTGGTTCAGCTTCAGCACCTGCGCCCTCCTGTGATGCGATGGTGTTGGGGGAGAAGGTGAGGGGTTGGGGGAAGAAGAACGGGGCAGGGAGAGAAGGGGAGAGTGGGACAAGGATGAGGAAGGGGAGTGGAGGGGATTAATGTGCACTGAAAGGGATTGGAAGAGTCCATAAAGGGAAAATGGTGAACGGAAATCACACGGCCCAGCAGCCCCCGACCCACGTGATAAGGGAGCGCGCGTGCTTCAGATAATAGTCTGGTGAGGAGGCTTTGGGCACCGTGCGCACCACTGGAGGAGGATGGATGAAAGTAATAGTACAAATGGATGTACTAGTACAAATGAAGTGCACGCCTCTAAGAGTGGGCGAAGCATTATGAGAATGGATGGCGACCCAGCAGACCTGCGCCCACCTGATGAGTGGGCGCACGTGCTTGGTGTAGTAGTGGGGCGAGGAGAGGAGGCTTTGGGGACAGTGCGCACCACTGGAGGCAAGTCCCTTAGCGCACTGGGTAGGCGCGTCACCACACGGACTGAGGGGAAAACCAACAGTTCCCCACCCCACCTACCTGAGGAGGGGGCGCACGTGCTTGAGGTAGTAGTCCGGCGAGGAGGCTTTGGGCACGGTGCGCACGACAGGGGGCAGGTCCCTGAGCGTGGCAGGTAGACGTGGCACCACCCGCACTGAGGGGGCGAGGGTGTGGATGAAGTGAGGCGCGTCAAACACATCGGAGAAGGTGCTGATTGGAGGGAAGGGGGCGGGGGGGGGGGGGGGTGGGGATCCGGAGGCAGGCTTTGGGCACAGTGCGCACGGCAGGGGCAGGAAACCGCGCACCCCCTATCACCCAGGCTGTTAAGACGATGAAGCATGTGCTCACGAAGAAGGGTCGCACGATGCGACCGGCGGTGGAGGGTGACGAGGTAATGGGCACCTACCGGGCCGCGCTGGGCAACCTCATGGACGCGCTGCCCGGCTGCATGGTGGCAGCGAACATCACGGCAGCAGAGATACTGGTGCGTATACTCTGTGCTGAGATGTATTGTAAGGTCGTTTTGGCCGTATTCACGCCCTCTTGTAGCCTCATTTTGTGGGTACGGTACCGTTGCACCACTGCCGCAGGCTCACACGGCCGTGGCGATCCCACGCACGAAGGGCGGGGCACTGGTCCCGAAGGGCGCGTTTATCAAGGCAAGCCCCAAGGAGAAATGGTTCACGGACTTTGCAATTCTGTCTGACAAGAAGGAATACTGGTTCGCCAAGGCGCTGTGCATTTTCAAGGTGGCCACCGCAGATGGCCAGCAGAAGGGGTTTGTGTACGTGCGGTGGTATGAACAGGTGGGGCTCTGCCCTCTAACCACTTGCTTGCAGCTCACACCGTCCCGCAAAGACACAAGGCATGCTGTGGTGGCACTGGAGAGCATCTTGCGTGTCGTGCACATTTGCCGCTCGTACAGCAACCCTCAGGTGTTACTCCTTAACAAATTTCTGCTGTGCGAGTGATCGGTTGGTGGGCGCATGAGGAGACCCTTATGGGCGAGTTCAGGAGTTGGTGGATGGGGGCAACGTATACTGAGCGACTTGCATCCTCCCAGTTGATACTAATGCCACCAGGGGGTTGCACTAGAGTGTAGAGGCCACTGCCTGTTGCGGTGTGATGGCTATGACAGAAGATGTGTGAGTTTACTGGCAAGTTGGGGACGGTGCAGTGGTTCATGTTCTCGCATACCTGCATACTTTGTACGTGTATACTTTACATAGTATGCCCGAAATGGAGTTCATACAATTTAGCTTGTGATGGTTTTAGAATATGCTGTATAGCATTTGCGATACAGTTGACATTTTGCGTGGCTACTGTAGCCGCCAGATGCCCGTAGTACGTCTAATGCGGTGCAGGTATCTGGCGTTTCCGATTGGCAGGGGTGGATGAGGTATTCGGATGTTCAGTGGTTGAAATCCTAACGGTACGCAACCATTGGAGCGCTTTTGGTTGGATTGGTGGATACAGTTGGTGAAAGTGGGTGGGGGGGTTACGATGTGGGAACGGGTGTGCGCTGTGCTGCTGAGGTGGCGGATTTGTGGCCGCGTACGCCATTCTCATGGCCCCAGCGGGCGTAGTTGTTGGCAGTGTAGGAGGAAACTGTAAATGGTGTTCGTCCAGTTTGAGAGTTTTATTGTTGTACCATCTGCATACTCTCGCCATGGCATCCCTTGTAACCCTGCTGGAGGAGCTCAAGGCCCCCCCCGAAAAAGTGTTCACCTTTGCAGAGTTTCCGTTAATCCCAACGAGGGTTCCATTGGAAGCGTCTCAGGACGAGCGTGAGAAACTGTCGCGCGAGTGGCACCTTCCTGTATGTTTTTTTTACAACGCGACAGGGTGTATCCGCAAGCCGCCGCTCGTGGTTCTCCGCCGTGATGACAAGAGGCCCATCCACGAGGGCCGCAAAAAGCAGCATGGCGTCCAAGTCCGTTACGCCAAGAATGGGCGCATGTCGGCCGAGGTGCGTGGTGGGAAATGTGGCTGGTGTAATATGCACGACGCTGTCCACGCAACGGATTGGTCCGAGTCAAATTTCTGACTGATTTCAGCCCGCGTTGCTATTTGATGTTGTGTGCACAGTTGTTCACGGAGTTCATCGATGAGTACAACGGGGAACTGCACGCGAAGAACGAGCGGGCGGTGGTGCTCGTCCACCACCCTAAACACACTCTTACGGGATGCGTGAAACAGACCACTAGTGTGGCGGGGTTCGTCGTGGATGAGTTGACACGGGTGCGAGTTGTGCAGACGTTTGGTGTGGTGCCGCCGTGCTCTTTTTCCGCGTTGAACGGTGTGGTGGACACTCTCAAAGCAGTGTTCCGCACTTGGTTCATGCAAGGCGCAGGCGAGAGCTCAGAGTGGATCAGTAAGGGTCTGTTTCCTCGCCCTCCGCTGCACGATGTGTTGTACAAGCTGTTCATGGCAGGCAAGTTGACTACCCCGGGCACTATTCAGCGGAGCTGGTGGCAAGCGGGGTGTGTGCTAAGGGGATGGGTGGCGCTTATGGATCGCCTGAAAGGGAAAGCGGCTGCGGGTATGTTCGACTGTCTGGTGACGGATTTCACGAAGCTGCAGCTGGTCATCAAGGTGTTTAAGAGCAAGTGCAGTAGCAGGCTGTACATGACGGCGTGGGACTTCGTGGGATGCGACGAAGACCTCATTGAGAAGTGGACGCCTAAGGGGGGCGAGGAGACAAAGTCAGTTGAGGAGATACCGGCATATTTCTGCATACCGGAGGGTCCTCTGATGCGAGACAGTCGCAGCTGTCGCCGCGTGGTGCGCATGGTACATGGCGGCTACGTGAAACATGCCGAGAGCTTGGGAATTCATCCGCACGACGTTCCAGAGGAGGTCGGAGTGGTCAACGAGGAGGTGGTGAGCCGCCTTCGCCGCACACCTATTAAGCGCTCGCGGGCCGCCAGTACAAGCGATGAGGGGATTACGTCGGACGGATCGGTAGTGGAACCAAACGTCCAGAGGGCTTAGTGCCGTAGGGTGTGCCTGTCCATCGTTAATTTCCCGATGGAGGATGACAAGGAGAGCGTTGTGCGCGTCGTATAGTGCCGTAGGGTGTGCCTGTCCATCGTTAATTTCTTCTGAAACCATGATTACGTGGGTGTTAGCTTAAGCGCATGGTGCTGAATGCGGGCAGTGTGTGGGGTGCAAAGTTTCTGAAGTTGGTGGTGGATAGGAGCTTGTGTATCATGGGAAACTATATAGGCTATTGCAAGTTGTGGTAATCGATTCAACTCTAAGTTATGGCCTTGGCGTGTGTCATCTAACAACCCGTGGTGCATAAATAAAAACCCGTTACCTAAAATCTACTTGGAGTATACTTAAGTGCTTACTGTGCATTCAGTGCACCCATCAGTAAAACGGGTGTACACTGTATGCGGTGTCGAGGTGTACGCTTTGGACGGGCCGCATCCCAACATGAGACGAATCCAATGTGTTTTACGGCGTCAGGGGACAACCGCTGCGGTTCGACTTACGCATGCGCGACTCGAGAGTCTGGTACTTAGCATCTGCGATGCTGAGTTTCAGATTTGACTTGTTGAAATCCGGATACTTTTCTGCAACTTTCGGTATACTTTCCTGCAGCCTTCAGACTTTAACTCGGGTTTTGGGTAAAACCTTTTCCGCGATGTGCGCGCATGGGGGAAGACAGACAGGCAGGCAGGGCACATGGGTGAGGCGGTGCGGGAGGAAAAAAGGGGCGTGCCGCAGGTTGAATGGGGGTACATGCCCGGTGGAACCGGGGGATTGGAATGTGATGGATTTACTAAGGTTCGTCCAGCTTCATCCAGCTCCGGGGCGATTAGTGCATCGCGAAAGTGCAAGGCTCGAAAAGCTGCGCAATAGCAACTTTTCCGTTGCTTTTCTGCAACTGCGTGTTCGCAAGGATACACTCTAGGTCAAAAGCTACCGTGGCGGGGTGACTTCGAAGCTGCGGAAAGGTGCCGACAAAGCTTCGAAAGAACGGCCATATGTTCACACGCAACACAACTGAAAGGTGACATCAGAAGTGACATTTGTCAGAACGTTTCGGGCTTTAAGTCACCATTTGCCACGTGGACGCCTGAACGCCACATGTGCAGATATTTCTTGCCAGCTGTCAAGGTGAATAGTGGACGTAAAAAGGCCACGTGGACCAATCAGATTTCGGGTGGCATATTGGCGCGTGCAATAAAAATATTTTAAGACTGTTGAGTTTAACATGTACATGGGAATTTTTTACAAGTATCAATTTCAGTACATTATACCCTAACATTCAGCACTGATAATTCATGTAGGATAGCGAACCAGTAGGATCTGATGAGTCATGGGAAGCTCACAACGTTTTCGCATCGCCCGCCTGGCTCACCTCGCTTGGCGCCGAGGCCGTCGCTCGGCGCAGGTCGCAAAGTCGCAAGTCGCACGAACACATACTCTCCATTCCTTACGACGATATGGCGCCATATGCTGACCGCGTTCCCGGCTGTGCTTGGACTACCAGCGAGCATTTTGCCTCTAGTCGGATTGGGGAGGCCGTGAAAGGGAGCGAGTTGAGCGGCGATTGCGGAGGTTTATGGCAGAGGAAGCCGAACGGTTCTCGCGAACCGGAGCTGCGACGACGACGACACCTGAACGACGTCGCCGCATTGTGCAGTCATCGGTACAATGGTAGTAGTTGCCCGGCGTCAAGCACGAGCGAACTCCTATACGACGAGATGACTGCCGCGCTTATTTACTACAAATGATGCTAGCACGGATTGTAGTCTAACCCACAGTGCTACTCCCATCCTCGTCAGTACCGCATTTTCCCCGTCACGGTTTCTCCGTCTTCTGAACCGTACGCTCATTCTTTCTCGTCAACACTCCATCGCAAGCCTTTCTGCTCCGCGAGCCCCGCAACCCCCTCTGCTCCAGAAGCCCTCTCCGCGTTTCCGCAAGTCTGTAACAGTGTGGCAGCCGAATGCTGCCAAGTACAGTGCAGGTGGGCGGAAGTCAAGCGCCACCTCACCAACTATTCGTATTGGTCAAACGCCTCAACCTACAGCTGGGCGACCAGATCCTGACGCGCAGCCCAAGTCAATCCCACGCACGAAAATTACAAAACGCAGAACACCGAAGTTCCGACCCCTCGCCGACTTCGCCAACCACACCGACGAAGTTACAGCCTTGTAATCAACTCGTCGACCAA